AATCTCAACTCCTAACTCCTTCCTTATCTTGGATAATGTTCTCGTTGAGTAAGGAGTCATTCTCTTTATTAATTATGCAATCTTTTCGATCAAGAGATATCTATTATTATGCCAGATTTCGTTTATCTGCTGCATGTACATCTCACGTGCTTTGAATATGCCCGTGTCTATGCCTACTAGTGATGGATCTGGTTCATCCCTGAGTTCCTTTGTCAATCTTCAAAACTATTCTTTACTTGGCCCAACAGTTAATAATGGAGACCGAGAATCCTGGTATTAAAGGGAGAGGATAGAGCAGCTTCAAGAACATTCCAAACCTCTTTGGAGTGTTTCTTCTGAAAGGGACAAAATAAGAAGCCATAGGATTAGTTGATCTTGTTGTATCTAATGGGACTGGGCAGGGTTTGGTCTGGAGGTACTAGCACCGTTAGTATTAATTTGAGATTGTGGCCACATGTAGGCGAGGTTCCATCCCTTCTCCTTAGTCTTCACAGATGGTTGTGGTGGATATGCATTAAATAGGTTGGTGACTACTCTAACCTCCCCAAGACACTTTCAAACCTATATAGAGATATTATCTAGACCACAAGCTTTTCTAATCTTCATACTTTTCATGGCATCCTTTGCCTCTACCGGCTCAATTTTACGAATATAGCTAAAGCTTCTATTGTACACAGACGTTGGAGATCCAAAATGTTATCTTTTTGGTTCAAGTTGAATAGTTGATCAAAATACCCTCTTCATATGTCATTCATCCTGGTATCTCTTGTCAAGACTTGTTGAGAATCATCTTTAATACACTTCACCTAGTCTTTTCTCTCTCAGTCGTGCTAGTTTAAACATTTCTTTCTCCCCTTATTTTATCCTTAGTCTGTGGTATAAGCCATTTAGAGCTTCCCCTCCGGCTTTACAAAGTACTAAATATAAGTTAATCTTTAATCTACAAGGAAAAAGATATGTAGTAATAATTTCGATTTACACTTCTCAATTTTAGTAAGTCTTTTTTTTTTTTTTTTTTTTTTTTTTTTTTTTGCAAGACTAGTCCTATGCCAAACTAAAACATTTACCAAATGATACGGCTTGCCAACTAAAGTTATCATCTAGGGGAGAAATAGTCTGTTAGTCTGAATAGTTGGTAAAATTCAATTGATTTAGCATTTTTCTCTTTTCATCCCGCATAATTAACACATCGTGTAAGATTGAAGTTGCAACCTAAGATTGCAAGTCTAATATGCACCACTAGAATATAAGGTCACAATCTTACTAAACAGAAAAATGTTTTCCCACGTGTTTACATCAAATTATCTTAGTTAATCATGATTAAATGTTATATTAAGATAAAGTTATATAGGGATTTATTGATTGAAGTATATTCTAAAAAACACCTATCATGTATTTATTGATTTGATGTAAACACCAACCGCGGATAAATTTTTCCAAACAAATATCATGTACCCTCTATCGAGTCAATCCTCGTCATTTCTTTTTTTCTTTTTAAACCCCCAACCCCCAAAAGAAAAAAAACTCACTAGAAGTATATTTAATTCCTGAAAAAATAAAAACAAAAACAACATCCTAGTATTAGTGGGCCAAAATGTAGAGCTGCCATTCCATTGCATAGACCAGTGGCGGAGCCAGGATCTCCGCCAAGGGGTTCAAGAAAAAAAAGATCGTAGCTAGTGGGAATTAAACCTATGACCTTTCAAAGATTTTAAACTCCCTTGACCACTAAGCTACACTTTTGGGCTGTGTCAAGCGGGTTCAAAACTCAATATATAGAGGTAAAAAACAGATTTTGCCTTATATATTAGTGTAATTTTTCGGCGAAGGGGGTTCGGGTGAACCCCTTCCGCCCCCTAAATCCGCCCCTGGCAGAGACCTACGTAAAAGTGCAAGGAGAGCTAAGCGTGGCGTGACTCAATTGAATGCTCCCACTGCAGGATCTCAGACATGGTGAAGTTTGGCGCCTGAGCATAAATGCATTTGTGTATTCTTGTCTAACAAATGAATCTATTAAATAAAGGGACATCCTCTAAATCTAAAACTTGAAATTGAGAATGTTTCTTAAAATGTTTCACAATATCTCGTGAATACATAGGCGAGACCTTCAGCTCCTCGTATAATACTACAATATTGTATCTGATCCTCTCTGCTTCTCTCCTCTTTCTTGACAAATGATACTCGTGATATAGAGCTCATATATTTTCACGAGTTTCTTCTTCTCTTTCAGAGGCTCAGACATGTCTCCAACACCCCATTTTTGAATTCTCTTCATCCCCTTCAAATACCTCATTCTTTGTTCCAAGAAACATGCATTCTTTTCCAAGCATAGTTAAGCCAATACTACTTCAATGGAATCCAGTACCCAATTCTCCTTTCTCTGTATTTTACTCTGTATTGTTTTCATACAAGCTCAAGATTTTCAAACGTACATTGTTCAGTTGCATCCAAATGGAGCAACAAGACCCCCTTTTAGCTCTAAGCTTCAATGGCACCTCTCTTTCCTTGCAAAAGCCATTTCCTCTGGAGAAGACTCGTCTTCTCGCCTTTTGTACTCCTACCATTCTGCTATGGAAGGCTTTGCAGCTCAACTCACTGAAGCTGAGCTCGAGTCTTTAAGAAAATACAATGATGTGTTATCAATACGTGCAGAGAGGAGGCTTGAAGTTCAAACTACTTATTCATATAAGTTCTTGGGACTAAGTCCGACGAGAGAAGGTGCTTGGTTGAAGTCTGGATTTGGTCGAGGGGCGATCATTGGAGTGTTAGACACTGGAGTTTGGCCAGAAAGTCCAAGTTTTGATGATCATGGAATGCCTCCTGTTCCACAGAAATGGAGGGGTATCTGTCAAGGAGGACAGGATTTCAATTCTTCAAGCTGCAATCGCAAGATTATTGGCGCGAGGTTTTTCAGCAAAGGACATCGTGTGGCCTCAATGACATGGTCACCAGATTTAGTGGAGGAATATGTATCACCTCGGGATTCCCATGGCCATGGCACACATACAGCATCCACTGCTGGAGGAGCTGCGGTGCCAATGGCTGGTGTGCTTAGAAATGGAGCGGGGGAGGCACGAGGGATGGCCCCGGGTGCCCACATTGCAATATATAAAGTCTGCTGGTTCAGTGGTTGTTACAGCTCTGATATACTTGCAGCAATGGATGTAGCCATAAGAGATGGAGTAGACATATTGTCACTCTCACTTGGTGGCTTCCCCGTTCCACTTTATGATGATACTATTGCCATTGGCAGTTTTAGAGCCATGGAGCATGGAATTTCAGTTATATGTGCAGCCGGGAATAATGGTCCAATCCAAAGTTCAGTAGCCAATGGGGCTGCTTGGATTGCCACTGTTGGCGCTAGCACACTTGACAGGAGATTTCCAGCATTAGTTAAGTTAGGCAATGGAAAGTTCCTGTATGGAGAATCTTTGTACCCCGGGAAGCAAGTTCCAAGCTGCTCAGGTAAGAGTCTTGAACTCGTTTATATCAAGAATGCGGACAAGGGAAGTGAATTTTGCTTGAGAGGATCGCTTTCAAGAGAACAAGTCCAGGGAAAAATGGTTGTGTGTAATAGGGGAGTCAATGGAAGGGCAGAAAAAGGGCAGGTTGTGAAGGAGGCAGGTGGTGCTGCTATGATCCTAGTAAACACAGCAGTAAATTTAGAGGAAGATTCTGTCGATGTCCATGTCATTCCAGCAACGTTGATTGGCTTCGATGAATCAACTCAATTACAAAACTATCTGAACTCGACAAAAAGGCCAACAGCTCGATTCATATTTGGAGGAACGGTAATAGGAAAGTCAAGAGCACCTGGGGTAGCTCAATTTTCGTCAAGGGGGCCAAGTTATACCGATCCTTCAATTCTCAAACCCGATTTGATTGCTCCAGGGGTAAACATAATAGCCGCTTGGCCGCAAAACTTAGGCCCCAGTGGCCTTCCAGAGGATTCAAGAAGAGTAAATTTCACTGTTATGTCAGGGACTTCTATGGCTTGTCCTCATGTTAGTGGAATTGCCGCATTGCTCCACTCAGCTCATCCTAGATGGACTCCAGCAGCAATCAAATCCGCATTAGTGACCACTGCAGATACAACTGACCACTTGGGAAAACCAATCATGGATGGAGATGCACCGGCTAAGCTTTTTGCAACTGGAGCTGGACACGTAAAACCAGAAAGAGCCATCGATCCTGGACTAATATATGACATCCGGGTTGATGAATATATCACTCACCTCTGTACTATTGGGTACAGAAATTCTGAAGTCTTCAGCATTACTCATAGGAATGTCAGCTGCCGTGACATTTTACAGAAGGAGAGGGGTTTCAGCCTGAATTACCCCTCAATTTCAGTAATTTTCAGGGCAGGAATGACTAGAAAGATGATCAAGAGGAGAGTAACAAACGTAGGGAACCCTAATTCTGTTTACTCAGTTGACATTGTGACACCTGAGGGAGTCAAAGTGAGAGTCAAACCACGTCGCCTGATATTTAAACATGCAAACCAAAGCTTAAGTTACAGAGTTTGGTTTATGTCAAGGAAAAGAAATGGATCTCAAAGGATGAGTTTTGCAGAGGGGCAATTGACATGGGTCAATCTAGGAAATAAAGCCAACAAAGTCAGGAGTCCTATTTCAGTCACATGGGCATCAACGAAGTGAAGGCTATCACCAATGTCACAACAATAGCACCAAATGTTTATTGTCTTAGTTCAAAACTTCCATTAGGAATTTCACAATCTTATTAGAAACTGATGTTAGAGCATATACAGCTGACAGGCAAAGATCATCTTTATCTTTCGATAAAGAAGAAATGAATGATAATCATTTGAAAGCAATGTGTTTTACCAAGTACATTTATCTCCTCAATGTTCAGAAGTTGTAACATGTATAAATAGATTAGACCAAGCACAAGTTTGCACTTGGACTTGGAAGTGAACCATCTATAACAAACTAAAGGAACCATCACAAATGAACAAATATCACGAAGAAAGAGAATAGTGAAAGCTATAAAAGGAACTAGAAGTAACATCTAACTGTAAATGGATGCAGCTATCTTGTCACTTATCAGCATGTCGCTAAGAAGATTTTTCAAGTTTACACCTTTTGAACTAATTACTCATAAACCAATATGACAGACAAAAATTTCAAGAAATTGGTCAGGCAATAAAAAGAAAACATACAATCTCAACTTTTAACAAACTGCAATCCGTTTGCACTAGCATACCGCTCCATAAATCTCATGAACCTGTCCCATTCTCGTGGAGTCCGCATTATATACTTAGCTTCAACTCCCGCAGGCTTTCCGTTAACAAACTTGGCATTTACATCAACTGATGAAAGAACCCCTTCCTCATCAATCATGTAGAATCCAGTGATATCCCCAACTTCACCAGATGAGTCGAATACGGAGGGATTATCAAACCTGAATATGGCCATACCATTTGTCCCGTCCCTTGACTTGGTAAGCTTCACATCTGGTATTGTCTGTTCATCAGTTCCTTGTATGAACTGAATTTTTGGCTGAACCATCATTATACTTAGTCTGGACATTTTTTGGTTTTGGATGTTGGAAGTAAAACGTGAACGGGTTAGGCACAAGCGCTGGCCATTGAATGAAGATCCTGCACTTTGATGAACCACCCCTGATGCTATTCCTACAGTACAGAACACAAAAAATAATTATTGATCTTGAATTAACAATGATCGCCTTTTTAATATGCTTACTTTAGGTACTATGCTATCCAGGAGTTTCTTAGCCCTATTATTCTTATGCCACTAGGAAATATAGAGAACTTCTAGTACTTTTTATTTTTATTTTGTAATGTTGGCCTGAGATGATTTTAAATGGAGAAACATGGTCAATGAGGATTCATATAGTGAACCTAATTTGTTTGGGATTGAGGTGTAATTGTTGCTGTTGAATCAACTATGATCCCTAATTTCCTAATTTTTTCTATTACATCGGGAGGGAATGGAAAAGGGAGACAACAAGAATTGAACTCACACCTATTATGTGGAAAACTTCCACTAGTGCCACTAGACTGCAGGTCTTGTGGCCCTAATTTCCAAGTTTAACATTCAGCTGCATTACATTTCCAGTACAAATTATCCCAGAAAGAAGATTATCAAAAAGATGAATGCACAAATACCCACCTCATTAGTTACTCAAAAAGCGTAAAAAGAAAACTAGAAATACAACTCCTTACGGAACTTAACGAGATATACTGATAAACCAAGAATTATTGAAAGAACTCGGCCATTAAAGGAAAGAGAGTCAAGATACATAAGCACATTAAGTTGAAGGAAACATACCCAAAAGAGAGCGAGGCTGATGAGAACTGTGAGAAAGTGCAGGAGAGAATGCAAGAGATTGAAGAGTAGCCATTAGAAAAGTGCAGAGAGAAAGAGAGAGAATGGAGCAGAGGGAACTAAAAAAACAGTCGATGTGGAAAGAGAGAGTGGCTGGTTGTAACAACGACAGCCATTCGCTTCTAACATTCTTTTAGATTTTTTCAAATGGATTGGCTTACCCATACCATTTGATTTTTGAGCCAACCACCAGACAATACACTCCCGCCAACTTTAATTAACTAGATGGGCTGAAAATCCTATCTGGGCTTTTATCAAGTTTTGGGCTGGCTCTAATAGCAGCCCAATAAAAACACTAGATGTTTGAGCAATTGATAAAGGGAGTTTTATAGCTTTACCCATAAAAACCAAACTAATTACTCTTGTCTACCTATTTATTTTTCTACCCATTAAACTAATTATTTTTCCTACCCATTGTAGCTTTTGTGGGTAACTAGCTATTTTTTATCCTTTTCTTTTTTCTCCTTTTACTTTATTTTTTCCTTTTTACTCCTTTTCTGTTCTTTTTTAAAATCATAATGTTTTTTATTTTGTTATTTTCAAATAATCTGATTCCATACACAATTTTGGCTCCTTTATTTTATTTTATTTTTTCGCTTTTTTCTTTCCTTTTGTTCATTTTCTTTATTTCTTCTTCCTTTCATAAATTAATTTAGCTTTACTTTATTTCTACATAATCTAATTACATTCACTTTTTTGTTCCTTTTCTTTATTCTTTTTTTTTATATAATAATAAAATATAGATGATATATTTAATATTTATTCACCTTCTTTAATATAACTGATAGTATAATAAACTATTTGTCTTCATTTTTCTCTTTTTTTTCTTCTTTAAATCAATTATTAAAACAACTTATACATTATACTTGTTTTCTCTTCTCTCTCTTTTTTCATTGCATTTTCATTTTTTTAAAAATGTATGTATTATTGTAAATATTTTTAGCACATAGGATTCAAAATTATATATCATTATAATAAAATGTTATATTAGTATAATAAAGTCACATGTTAGTATTTAATGTTATTGTAAATTACTTGTCACAATAGTATACCAAAGCTGCATATAAGTATACCAAATAGCTACATTACTATTTTATGCCTTCCTACATCTACTTATACAATGAATGTTATTTTCATGAAACTCCATAAAAAGTCATTTAAGAAAATATTTGCAAGGACATAGTTGGAAATATTAAAAAAAATTAAAAAATTACTTATTTATTGCAGTATACTATTATATTATATTATATACTATAACAATATAATGTTACCATAACCATGACTTTAGCTTTGAACAATAACACCTAGATAATTCAACAAATAGCAGTCGAAGTATACTATTAAGGTATATTGTATACTATTACAGCATATTGTTGTAGTATATTGCATATTATTATAGTATACCATTACAATATATTATATACTATAATAGTATACTGTTGCAGTATAGCTATATACTCCTACAGTATATTATATACCATAGCGGTGTACTATTTGGTAATTGTGTTCTTCTTCCATTATTACAGTATACCATTGCAGTATATTGTATACTATAACGGTATACTGTTACAATATAGCTATATACTCCTACAGCATACTGTATACCGTAGCGGTATACTGTTGGGTAACTATGTTCTTCGATTTCAGCTAAAAATATTCGATCTCAATCACCTCAAATCAGCTCCAAATGCGAACAAATTTTACTATAAACTTCCTGAAAGTACTATAAGTAATATTTTACAGCACCCACTTTGAATTAAATATCAAATCTTAAAAATAAAATTTTAATGTAGGAGCTTCAATATCAACAATGGCGGGTCTTCAATGACACACAATTTTTTTGATATGGGAAGCTTAATATATAACCACAACAACATGGGCTCAGGAATACAAATAAATACACAAAACATAATATACTAATATAGAAAAAGGATTTTGGAGTGAAACTCATGTAAAATCATACGAAAACTTGTATTTTAAAATTTATATAGAAAATTCTAAAAAAATATTAGGTAAATGCATGGGTTTGTACTGGGTTTTCATCATCCACTAAAAAGACTAAGCTATGGGTATTTTTTTTGAAAGGGAAAAAGAACGTTTGGGATGTAGGACTCTACTTGTTTAGAGAAATTGAAAAGAGAAAGGGGATTGGATAGACGGGTAAATAGTTTAGGCCGTATGGGTAAGAAAAGTAAATCTTTTGGGCTTGGGTATTAAAGAGTAAATAGTTTGGGCTTAATAGGTATAAAGTGAGATTTTTTTCTTGATAAAGACTTGTACATTAACCCTCATTGTTATCTGCATATGGATTAATTGAGTCAAATTTAAACTAAGTTAATAGTTGAGTTAATAAAATGGATTGTTGAAGAAAAACTAGAATTATGACGGGCAAAATATAAAATTTGTTACACCCCATACTTTCCCTCTCGTAAAAAGTTGGAAACTAATGATGAATTTACGCGCAACCAATCGGCCGGCGACAAGTTATGGGGACAAAAGGTGATTACGCATTCCATCAGATTGTGCCACCTTCCCCACAGGGCGCAATGGTCGGTGCGAGGCGACCCGTTTAGTATTGAGGGCGGTGAAATTTTTAGACTTGATATAAAAAGCAATACAACTTTCTTCTCTTTCATTCTACACAAAAATCATCTCTCGGGTTTCTTTTAAGAACTCTTAAATGATTCAAGGCATAATCAAAGGCGAACCTAGCTGAATTTAACGTAAAGAATCTCGTTACCATCACTGAGTCATTTGCCTTCTTGTTATACTAATTTTGGAGATTCCGTTGAAGTGAAATCACCATAGAAGTGTAAGAACTCAAAAAACATAGTTAGCCTTTCAAAAAGGTATGTGAGGCAATTTTCTTTCGTTGGCATGTCTTGATGCAAGCTGTCCCTTCTGAAAAATCCTTTTGTTGTAAAATTGAATTGTTCTAAGTCTTTCTTGATAATGATGTTCATGTTCTTATACATTCTTTGCGTGTTGCAATTTTTTTCAAGTTTGAGATGTTCCCGAATGGTATCAAGAGGCAGTGAAATGTAATTTTTTTAAACTTTAATCTTGATATCTCTTGAAATTGATCTTGCATTGCACGTATATATATATATATATATATATATATATATATATGTATGTATGTATGTATCTATTTTAATTTATCGAGTTGCGTTATAGTCGGACGGGTACAATACATATTGTGCATCCACTGATCAGTTGGGTGTGATGAGACATAATGTGAAGTATTTACCGAGCCCTCGTGTGGCCGGGTATGACCGAGTCCTCTACAAGGCTGGGTATGGAATGATGTATCATGTGATATTATCGAGTCCTCTTGAGACCGTGTACATCGAGTTTTGTTGAGACTATGTATAATCAAGATCTTCTGAGGCCGGGTACGATCGAGTCCCCTTGAGGCCGGGAACGCCAAGTCCTGTTGAGGTAGGGTACAACCGAGACCTCCTGAGGCCGGGTACGATGCGATGAAGATATAAACTTTACCGAGTACTCTCGGAGATCGAATACGATATGATATGATATGATATGCCCCAAAGTGTGGTTGAACATGATATGAGATGATATGTCTCAAGAGCGGTGGAATATTACTATATTATGTTTAATGCATTACTTGACTTTTACAAAAACTTGCACGCATTTATAGTTCATGGTTTCCGCAGTGTATGCCCCAGTGGCCTGTCTTCGGTATTCAGTTCGAAATTTTGTATTTATATCTATTATAATAAGTCTTTGGTTTACCTTTATTACATGTCTGACATATTCAGTACATCTTTCGTATTGATACCCCTTTCTTCTAGGCATTATGTTTATGCCCACAAATACAGATAGATCCGGTGACATGCCTCTTCAATAGGGTACCTGTTTCACCTGTTAGTTGTCGCACTCCACTTCTCCGGAGTAGCTGAACAGAAGTCGATAGGTACTGGAGTACATGTCTTTATCATTTTGGGTATGATGGGGCCCTGTCCCAACCAAGTTATTGATTGTGGAGGCTTGCATACTAGTGTCCTGTGTGTATATAAATGTTGGTTATGACTATGTTGGCAACGGTGGTGTATATATAAAATGTTAAAGTTTCTTCCACGGTCATTTGTGAACATTTTCTTAATTTTGGTATCATACTTGGAGGCCTTGTTGGCCCAGATCTCATGACGAAGGGTCTAAGTTGGACGTTAGTTCCCACTGGTCTTCGAGCATTATGTGTTGTATCGCACCTCCCGAGGTTGGGGTGTGATAAAATTAGCAGCTCGGCCGAAACTAATTGTATTATCTAGCCAAAAGGTATATAAAATATATATATATTTGTAAATATTACACGTATATACATTTAGTTAGCTATTTTTTTAGAACGGCTAAAAATATATAGTATTTTTCAATTGTAACTCGATACATCTAAAGTTTGTCTGGTCAATAAGGGTTAAGGAGCGGATTAAAAACAATCCACTTTACTGGAGTCACTCTTTTATAGTTTTCTCTAAAAATTCTATGTTTAACTGTGTTGCTGAAAATGATTTTTTTATTGATTGTTTCACGACAGACAAACTAGTGAATTATTTTGAGCTAATAATTAATCCAAGTGATCTTATCTTGGAAGGCTTGATTTGGTCAACCATTTTGACTTTTTGAGTGTTATTTGATAATGGAAGCATGAATCACTCAATCCGTCCAAATATACTATGGGGCTAAGATCCCTTAACATGCCGAGGATTATGTAATAGAGAAAAATCTAAGGATTTGAAACTATGGATTATTTTCAAAAAGTATTAAAAATTGTTTCAATGCTTTCGAAAAAGAATTCGACCAATAAACAAAGGTTTTCAGTTTTTTCGCAAGAACTAAAAACACATTTGGAGTAGTATTTTTAGTTTTTGCAAAAGCTGAAAAACTTTTCCCTAATGGCATTTGGTTGAAGAAAAAATCCAAAAATATTTTTGAGTTTTGACATTTGAAATTTTATTAACCTGTTTATAATACAAACTCAGTAGTTTGTGCAATTATCGTAAAGCTTCTGACTTCACCTTTAAAACAATTCTAAATTGGAAAATGATAAGAACGGTTTATACTTACATAGTACTATTGCACAAATGTTATTCACAAATTACAAATTCCCTATATTCCTTTTAATTTCAATCTTATTCAAATGTTATACACCAATACTTATTACTCCATCTGTTTTAACTTAGATGAGATAGTTTGACTCGACACAAAGTTTAAAAAAGAAAAGAAACTTTTGAAACATGTAGTCCTAAAAGCTTAAAGGATAAAAGTTTTGTGAGGTCATAATATTTGTGTGGCTATAAAAACTTTTCATCAAGGATAAAATGGGTAAAATAAAAATTTCAAAGTTAAATTATTTTTAAATATATGTATCATTCTTTTTGGAACGGACTAATAAGAAAAGTGTATCAGTTAAATTGAGATGGGGGAGTATCGCGAAAAGCATGTACTTTAATAGCATGTTTGACCAAACTTTTTTTGGGCCAAAAATGCTTTTAGCCAAAAATTGAGTTGTTTGACCAAGCTTTTAGAAGGAAAAAAAGTACTTTTGAGGAGAAGCAGAAGTAGATTTTGAGAAGCAGAAAAATGTAGCTTCTCTCCAAAAGTACTTTTTTGATAAGCACTTTTGAGAAAAATACACTTAGAAGCAGTTTTCAAAAGTTTGGCCAAGCACTAATTACTGTTCAAAAGTGTTTTTCAAATTAATTAGTCAAACACAAACCGATTCTCACCAAAAGTACTTTTTTGAAAAGTAATTTTGAAAAAAAAATACTTCTCAAAATAAGCAGATTTTAGAAGTTTGGCCAAACATGCTATAAGTCAATCTTACATTATTTTCATAAATTTGCATAGAACAATTATCAATTAATTAATAATTAACTGAAATGCGTTGTCACTTGAATTTTTTAACTATTAAGATTAAATTACTTGATCAATCTTCCGATACCTCTATGCGTTTATCCCTTTTTCCTTGCTTGGTGTTATAAATTGATCAACTTTAACATATTATTCAAAAAAAATTCTTTTATTTGAGATTAACAATCTGTAATTAATATGGACATTTAATGAATGATTTGATTTGTGTGAAAACATCATTCTATTGGATTCACAAGAGAGAGGGAATGAAGGAGGCGGCGGGCAGCTTCAATGAAAGTACTGTATTAGGTTGTCCGTATTATATTCACGTACTCTGCAACTTGACACCGCATTTAGCGCGCCGTTAGCTGTCCCAATTAATCCCCTTGTCCCAACACCCACCCCCTTCTTTTTCAACTCTTTGATTCCTTGCTTTCTCCAACACGTCACGGATCCTCTCCTCTCCTTTCTTTCTTCGTTCTTCTTCTTCATCTCTACAGTTCTTTCTTTCTTTGGTCAGAGGAGTCGACCTTTGAATTGAATTTACCCATTAATCCGTGAGTGACCAACTCAGACTTAGTCCCCTTCCTTTACTCTTTCTCACTACACAAACGCGCATTCCCATTTGTGGTGAGACCCAATATCTATAAAAACGCCCACTTTTCTCACGTCTCTAATTACACGCCCTTTTCGACTCTTTCAAGGAAAGTTAGCTACTTTTCGACCCAAAATCTTGACTAAGTTACATCCCACAAACATAGGTGTAGGATAAATCTGAACTGACGGGTCAAAGTTGTTTACAAAGTTCACATCTTTTTTAGCAGCTAAGTATTGCTACATTTGGTTAGAAGCTAAGATTTGATATGGAAGGATTCCAAGCAACCCCAGATGATGGTGGGATAGCAAAGAGGCTTTGGGTCAAGTTCAAGAACGAATCACTTTGTGCTCTTTATACTCCTTTTATTGTGTGTTTGGCATCTGGGACTTTGGATTCTAAATCATTTCTTCACTGTATCTCTCAAGATGTCTATTTCCTTCAAGCTTTTGCTCAGGCGTAAGCCCCCACTTTTTTAATTCATCAATATACATATTATAAAAAGATAAATCCATGAGGAGTTCTATTGAATCTATTGATTAACCGTTTGCTTTTGGCAGTTATGAGTTGGCGGAGGATTTTGCGGATGACGACGAAGACAAGGAAGCTATCCGTGATTTGAGAAAGCGTGTCTTGAGGAAGCTTAAAGATCAAGATGATCTTGTGCGGGTAAGCTACACCTGAAATTCCTGGTTTATTCTGTCTATGTTCATATGAATTGATAGAGTAAATCAAAATGGAAGAAAATGATGTTCTTAACTAGTCGGGATTAAGGTGTAGTGGTTGTTATTACATAGTCTTGTTAGTCTGACTAGAGACTTGTATATTAGCATAGGAATAAGTGTGGCTTTTGGACAAATTTTAGTTTTCGAGAACCCCCAATTTGTCTTAAAAGGCCAATAGATAGGCGCGAATAGAACAGGTGGATGCTTAAGGTTTATATATAACTGATCCAACTAGTGTGTGATTGAGGTGTAATCGGTTGATTGTTCATATCGAAATTCAGGTTAACCATTTAAAAGCATGTAATGGATGGGTTTCTTGTTGGATTTTTAACTTGGGAAGTTAATATGAATTGGTAATTCAGTTTCATAAATAGATGTAACACTCTTTGGTTAATTGGTAGAGGATCACGTGCAAATTTTCTCTAACTCAAGGTCTTTGTGATTAATATCACATACTCCCTCCGTTTCAATTTATGTGAACCTATTTCCTTTTTAATCCATGCCAAAAAGAATTAGCTCTTTCCGTATTTGGGAAACAATTTACCTTTATGCAATGATTTATAACCACACAAAATATATGTGCCTCATTTTACACCACAAGTTCAAAAGTCCTCTCTCTTTTCTTAAACTCCGTGCCTAGTCAATTAGGTTCATATGAATTGAAAAGGAGGGAGTATATAATTTCGGTTTCATTTTTTTCCATCTCCTGATTGAGGAAAGGCGAAAGATTGAGATGCATCCAAAAGTTGTAGCCTAGTGGTCAATAAAATAAGTGAAAACCTTTGAGATTAGGGTTCGAATCCGGNAAAAAAAAAATCTTATCTCTTGCCCTACCCTAATTGAAAAGGGTAGTATAAGTGTATAACGGAACGTGAAATTTACTGGATAAATAGTTGATCTAGTAGGTTGTCTGGTAGTGCAAATTTTGTACTGCTAGAAGAATTTTAGATGAGAGCAACAAAGAACAAGATGAGAGTCCAGCGATTTAATGGGCTTGTGCTCACTTCTCCGAACCTCTTCGACCGGTCTAGAATCTCTTTATAAGGAAGGACAAAGTCCAAAGAGCAGCTGTTCTTGCATTAACCATATCAGCATTTAGAGGTGTCCATGTTATTAGTATTATTTATCAGCAATGTCGATTCTTCAGCTTTTAACAGATACATCATAATGCAGGAATGGGGCTTTGAACTTCCAAATAATAGCACTTGTGACAGTGCCACAGTTAGATACACTGACTTTTTGCTGGCCACAGCAGCAGGAAAAGTTGAAGGGGAAAAGTTTACCGGTAAAATTGTGACCCCTTTTGAGAAGACAAGGCTTGCGGCTTATGCACTTAGTGTAATTGCACCCTGTATGAGGCTTTACAGCTTTCTTAGCAAGGAGATTAAGTCTGTTTTGGTCCCTGAAGAGAACAATAACATCTATGAGAGATGGATTGACTGTCTATGTTCAGAAAGTTTTGAGGTGTGTCTGGTTTTTGAGCAATGCATTATTTTTCATTTTGGTAGGAATTTCTTATCCAAATACAAAGAGTATTCTGTAGTTGAAATTTGTCTAACCGTTCCCTTGTAATGGTTCTGTGCTTAGGCATATGCTTCAAGGATTGAGGACCTACTGGATAAACTAAGTGTTTGTTTGACTGGTGAAGAACTTGATGTTGTCGAAAGGCTGTATCACCAAGCTATGAAACTTGAATTGGAATTCATCTCTGCTCAGCCAATTACCCAGTCCACTGTAACCCCCATTTCTCAAGTCCAAGAACCAGCAGGATGCAATCTTACCATGTTTTGTGATTTTGACATGACGTGCAGTGCTGTTGATTCATCTGCCCTTTTGGCCGATGTTGCCATCATAGCAGCAGCAAAGAGTGATCTAGATGATTGTGAAACCCTGTACCCTCGTGTTTCTGCAGCT